AGATTCTGCTTGAAATTTTATTTTTTTGGAAGAAAGATTAGGAGATGTGTGTCAAAATATGGTTATTAAAATAATAGCAAGGTTCAATATCAATACATATCATGCCAATGGCTTATTGATACGTCCTTCCAGAAATTATATCGGATCAGACACTGGTTCAAAGGATAATCGGGCCTTAAATCGATTCATTTGAACTGATTTCAAAAAATAATAAAACTTGAGAAAAAATACCGATACAGGTCGATACGCCCCAATGTCGATACCTTGAACATTGAGTGATGGGGTGTTGCTAAGACAAACAGGATTATTTATGATATTTGTATGTTTGACTGCAACAATAATTTACTTGGTGTATAGTGTGAAGGGTCCGTACCAACAGTAATTTACGTGGGGTTTAGAGGAGGTTCAGGAGAAGTTATTGCCGGAGCTAGTCGAAGCTATAAAAAAATTAGAAATTCGGCTCTCTTTAAAACAAGATAAATTAGTGTGGTTTCATATTTCACATGGAGATTTCAAAACCAAGAGTGCTTGGAACTGTGCTTGCTTCTTCCGGCCCAAGATGGACTGGGATAAGGTTATTTGGTGAAGAAATATTCCCTCAAAAATATTTTTCTTGATTTGAAAATTATTGAGAGGTCAAGTGGTGGAGGGGGTGGGTTGATATAGATATTCAATGTTTGGGCGTCTTAATTGCTTCTCAGTGTGTGTTATAAACTCCACTCCTCCGAAGACAACACCACTCACTTTTCAAGGGTACGAAGACTTATAAGGAGTTGCTATGAAGCTAAATATGCAAGAAACCAATGGGCAGGAGTGATAGCTTCTATATTTTGTTTTGCCTTTTGGGAAATTTAGAAAGAAAGGTATAGAAGGAGAATGGATGGTTGCTTCAAGAGTTTTCAATTCATAATCCTCTCAATCACTAGGTGGCAACATGTAACTTGTTTTTTGGGCAGGTTTAGTGGCATGATGAATATGGAAAAGATGGCCATACAATCTTTGGAAATTCCAATTATTCTATTAAAATAAAGATGGATAAAGCGGTTCATCTAAGTATGTGTTTGGTTTCATGGATGTTTATTTGTACTTTTTCACTTTAAATATTTATTTATATATTTTAACGTCAAACTTTTTTTACTTTAAATGTTTCCTGTTTTTGTTGTTTAGTTGAACTTCATTTTAAACGTTTTTTATTCTCCACCTCAAATTAATACCCATTAAAGTGTGTCACATCCGCATTTGGTTTCAATAAATATTGAGGCATTGGGGAAAACAAGAATTTGACATTTCCCAAATGCTCCATGCGCAAAAATCAAAATATTTTAATTTTTTACCATTTATTCGATAAACAATAAAACTAAACAATTATTTTATTTTTCTTCATCTGCGATAAGCGCCAATGCCTATATGGTGATGATGTGATGGTGGTTTTTCAATAAATGCTAACGGAACCAGACATCCCCAAAATCCGATCTCTCAAGGATGATTCAAATTAAATGTGGATGGAACATCTCAACGAAATTCGGGTCCAAGTGGTGGTGGTGGCATAATAAGGCAAGGTAAAAATAATTTTGTTGAAGCCTTTTTAGCCAACTATGGGGTGTCCACTAATGTTTGGGCAGAAGCTCAAGCTTATTGGATGGTTTAAAGATGGCCAAAGCAATGGCACTTCCAAGGATTTGTGTTGAAATGGACTGGGTTGAATTGTAGCACTTTCCAAAGGTCGACTTCTCCCCCTTGGCATCTTGGTACTGAGCCTACTGGCATGCAGAAATTTTAGAGGTTTTGGAGAATTTGGAGGTAAAGATTGTTCATATTGCATAGATTTTTAGTTAGTAATAAAAGCGGAATTTCTGTTTTTCGAGTTAAATGATTTGGGTGCATCAGACTTTATTTTAATGAGTTGATGGCCTCTTGTATGTTAGTTAAGGCTTTTATGTCCCCCCCTAGGTTTTATTTCTTTGAAAATCAATCAGTGGTATGGGAAGTATGTTGAAGGACTCATGGTGTTTGAATTAAGAACAATTTGGAATGTTCTTTTTGTAAAGGATAATCAATGGGCATCCATTCTAATCTTAAATGATGTAATGAATGTCGTAAACTCTCTCAGTTCATAGTCGTTTTTGTTTTGGCCTGGAAATATTACTTCTGAACAAATCAAATTTTGTGCCCAAAAATGCTTCAAGTTGGGTTGTGTATAGATATATTCTCAGGAATTGTAATATGGATGCTCATACCCTAGCGCAGAAAACTAAGTGTTTTGATAGAAATTGTATTTTAGTGGGACAGTCCTCCAGTTTGTATTGAACAATTGGTGAATTCCTTTTATTAGTGTAGTATTATTTTCTATCAAAAAATATTAATATTTTTTATAGGAAAAAGATGTGCTACACAAGACGGGGGTAGCACGACCCTAAAATCACTCAAACAAATAAAATAAAGGTCTTTAGGAAGATTAGAAAACAACACGATTAGGAGAAGACAACGCCTTGTGAGCAAGCCAATCCATCGGTTGGTTCGCCTCTCTAAACACGTGTTCATAGGTCACACCACCATCCATCATCTACTTCATCTACAGGTATACTGAAATGATGTTCCTAAGATTCTATGGATAGATCAAACCCTTGAGACAATAAATAACAATTTTCGAGTCTCCCTCAATAATAATTGGCTGGTGCTGAAGTTAAGGGCCAGATTATGGGCTTTCCAAGCTGTCCAAGCCTATGCCGCATTAATAGAGCAAGTGACGAGTGAAAAACTTTTAAAATCCAAGACTTTGCCCAAGTGGTTTCTAGTAATGGCCACCACAGAACATATTCCATCCCCAACACAAAAGCATCAAAATTAATTTTGATTTCACCACACTTTAGAGGGAGCCAAAAATTGAGATTCCATTTTTTTAAATTTTTGCATTCATTTGGTTTTCAGAGAGCTCGCAATACTTAAAAAAAAAATCCCTACAAACTCTCTCCAAAATAGTTTGAGAGGCATCCTCTTTGTTCTCGATCTTTCTTTTTTTTTATCTCTATTCTTCTTTCTTTCACTAAATTATTCTCTATTATATCTTTATTGTGGATTTTAGACCACCATTTGACCAAATTATATTCCCATTATTTATCGCTCGGTTCAGATCAACTCCATCCTAAACATGTTTTGAAAGTTGAAACAACACAGTCCAAGAAAATATGCTTTGAATCCTCACTAACCCCACACCAAACACAGTCACCACTAATATTTGCACCTCTCATTAGGTTGTCTTTTCAGAGAAGATTGTTATTAAGAAGGTACAAGAACTCTTTTAATTTTGGGGTTGACAATCTTTTGCAGAGTAAACTCAAAAGACCAATGTTTGGCTCATGTTTTAGGTCTTTCCGCATAGTAAATAGCCATTTTTAAAAGCCCGGTAGACCAAGCTGCTTACTAAACAATTTTATTAATTAAAGACAAGACCCAAAAGCTGAGTACATATTGTGGCCATCTAAGCTATTGCAAAATTTTCTTTATAAAAACTTGCCAAATGACACTAAGTTATTAACCTTTTAAAGGCATACAAAGTTGAAAACTTGAATTAGCCGTTACCACTCATTCATCCAAGCATTCGCATTTTTACAACTTTTTTTTAAACAAATGCTTATAACCAATAAAATCAACAAGTACAAGTGAAGAGTAGTTTCCAATCAGTTGCAATTGATACTCATCAAAATTCATGAAGGGTTTTGATTGATAGGGGAAAGTTCCTGATTAGTACCCTTTTGTTATCATGCCTTCTCCCTGATTAGGATTAACTCTTTTTTGTTATCATGCCTTTCCAGTATTATTGGAAAAATTTTCCAATTAGTACCTTGTACTTTGTGACTAGTGCCACTTCGGTCCCTAAACTTTAAAACGTAACAATTCAATACTTAGAATTTTAAGATATGCCAATCCAGTACCTACCATTAATTAGTCTGTTAAACGGCAATTTAGTGACATTTGAAAAAACACAAATACCCTTCAAGTGTCATCTAATTCTCTTTATCAGCTATCTCAACATTGATAAAAAATAAGATTCAAAGTATTGATTCGATACGCCCCATACCAAGCATACCGTATTGTATCTTTTGGTCTCAAAACATCTATTTATAGGTGTTTCGGAAACCCCAATAATTTTAATAAAAAAACTTAAAAACATTTCCAAAAATCAAGTTTTGAAAAAAAAAAAAAACATTAAGTGATTGTTTTTTGTACCGATATAACCTTGCCAAGACACAGGCACATCGATACTTTGAACCTTGGACAAAAAGTGAACAATCCCAAATCCTTCTCTTCTATTTAAAAAAGTCGGAGTCACATCTCAATGAACATTCTGGTAACCCCAACTTTCTTAAATGGAAGAGGTAAAAATTTAGGATTGTTCATTTTACTCAACGTTTGGATTTCAGAAACCAAAATTATAGGATACTAAACAGGAATTTTCCCTAAATTTAGCTTCAATCGAAGATGGGAATGTGCTACACCTGTTGTGTAGCACCAAGAAGTAAATAGGTGGCCAAGAGAGAGATTTTCCAGGTAACCATAAACAAGATGCTCAACCATCAACCAACCATATCCTAAATGTAAATGCTTAAACTTAGGTCCAGAACTTCAAGCAAGTTAATCTGTTACGGGCAACATAATAACTGAGTGACCAAACGGTCCAAACCCAAACTTAAAATAATTTGATTCACAATCAGAATCAAAACCATAATCCTTAAAAATTAAAATAATCTATTCCCATTGTCTATTTGATTCAGACAGAAATGAGAACAGGAATGGGGATTCTGATTCTGTCCAACCACCATTCCAATTCCAAGCCCCTATTCCCATGAACCAAATTGGGTCTTAATAGAGACTCCAATGTCAAAAATCAGGAAGGATCCCATTATGCCTGTTGATGTCCAGGACCCAATGACGTAGACCTTCTGACCCTTGTCATGCCAAGGGAAACGAACACGTTCGCCATTTGATGCATAGACAATGAGTTCCAGGAAGAAGTTCCCACGATGATACCCATCCACTACGACTAGAAATGAGGAATAGATCCTCTAAATTGTATTACAGAATAACACATTTAAAGGGTGAAAATGTTCCAAAGGAAATATATACAGGCGACCATCTGTTAGGGATGCCAGCAACGAGAAAAAAAAATGATTAATCTAACTCATACAGATGTAAACTGTTCTACCATTACATTAAAAACAACTACTAAGCTTGTCTCATTGGCGAGCCTGAAAGGAATGATGGATCATGGATGGCAAGGCAAGTCTTTGGGGGAGGAATGTGGCTGTTGTGTAATTTTGTTTGTAAAGAAATGCTTTCCCCACCATCACCAAAGATGCATCTGTACAGCATCCCCTTCTTCCCTCGCCACCACTTGGCTATCCTTGGCCCATTTTAGGTCTTCTTTTTCTTTTTTTTTTCTTTTTAGTTTATTTACAATGTCAATGAGCCTGCAAACCCAACCAGCAAAATATCAGAACGGATTTATATCAAATCATCAAATTGCAGTAGTCAAAATCTCTGCCTTCTTTCTATTTGCCATCCGATGAAAAGAGAATAGGATAGAAAGAGCTGCGCTAAATATAAACAGAAAAGAAAAAGATCTCCCATGCATAAAATCAATACGAGTGGGAAAGGGATGGCTAGAGAATTTTGGACATCAGAACTTTAGCCGTGCGTTGAGAATGTCTCCTCACGAATAAATTCATAATTCATACGAGTACGGAGATTCCCAATGCACATGAATAAAATCGAAGTTCCCAAAACACGGCTGCCAAGGCTGTGAGGCGGATTTTGTCATTTTGTGAGGCTGAAATCCGTGTTCCAATTCTCTTTGGAAGAAAGAGGGGGAGAGAACATCTCTGACTCTACTAGCAAATGTTAGTATTTTGCATTTAAGCTTAAAATTCTAAGAACTATCACATTCACACCAAGGAGATACGTAGTATTTTTTCTGACTGAATCTACAAGGGAATTAAACTCAAGTCCTACAGTCGTGATTTGTCTACGATGAAGCAACGTAACCTAAAACACTATAATATGGGTAGACAACGGAATCCTAGTCTCCTAAACAGCTCAAACTCATGGAAAGAACTTGTGGTACTGCTGGAAGGATGTAAGAAGCAGCTCATGTTTATACCCCCCAATCTTAAGAGTGAAAAAAGCTCGTGATCAAAGCAAAAGAAAGTTCCATTCATCTATGGTTAATCAATGAGTAAAAATCCTTACCCCTAGAAACTTTTTTTCCTTCAAAGATGCATTTTACCCTTCCTCATCCTCAGATTGGGAAGCTTTCTTAGAATTTGCATCAATCTCACTAGGATGTGGAGCTCCACCTGCGATCAAATGAACAGTAAGACTAATCAGGATGACCATCATTACATGTCAGAGAAGTTTCTTATGGCAGCAATGAAATAATCCTCAAACATGGAAGATCGCATTCAAACAAGCATACAAGCAGCGTAACCACCACTTGACAAAAAAAAAATCCTTTTTTGTTGTTTTTGCTTTGTTTATTTGTTTGTTTTTTTCTTTTCTTTTTTTTTCAGAAAAATGTGAGCTTTCTATTGAAAGAAGTAAAGATAAAGGCTGCTGAGGGAGAGGTTTTCTCCACAGCCGAGTACAACAAAGGAGTAAAACGTTGTCACTTGGCGGTAAGTACAGAAAGCCCTTAAAAAAAATCCTTATTTGTGAACCCCCCTCTATTTCCCCTCTAGGAAATGTAATAGTCTATATCAACCAAAGAAAAAGTGCTGCCCCATCCTCCCACCACATAGAGCCAGGTTAAACCCGTGTACTATGATACCCCGATACTTGTAAGGGTGATATTTCATGTTGAATACTTCCGTTTTTAGTGTGAGTTCCATATCTGGGCCATAAATAAAAAAAAATAAGAACAAAAAATCATTATTTGGAACCTTGTCCCGCCGTGTCCTTCCCACTTTCAAGAATCACAAGATTCATAGCCTTTATGATGCTGCCTTTAAGATAACTAAAGATGCCACTCATACCCAATCAAATTCGATAACCTAACGAGTAGTGATCAAAATTAGGTCCAATATAGCTTGAGGGATGTGAAGTCCTGTTATTGACCTGTTGCAAAGCTGAAGATGAAGGCACATACCTCTATTCGATAACCCTAATAAGATAACGACATACAAAGAAATTTGTTCCATATTACCTTCACTTTTCTTCAAAGTCATTCAAATATCACCACTTACCAGTAAAAGCCCCTAGAATAATCCCCAAAAAACACCAATTTACTTTATAGATCTGCATAAGTGTCTCCACAGGCCTCAAATGAACTCATGAAGTCATAATGCAGGAAATATTTGGTTTGTCATTTTTGGTACTTATGAGTTAAGAACGAGTTCAATGTTCAGTTGCACACCTCTAGAAACAAAGCTGCACAGACCAAGAACATTCTAAGGAAAACTCCCTAACAAGAAAATATGTTTTCATTGTTCAGTTCCTTACTTTGTTGTGGTATGTTTTGGAATCTGACCCTTATCAATTTAATCTATACAAGTTTGATACCAGAACATCGTCTGTTCAGGAAGCTGTGTGTTTTCCAAGTAACGTTAAAAAAAAAAAAACAAAGGATTTTCAATATATTGCTAACAAAGTGAGCTGCTTCATTCCATCATAAAAGTCAAATAGTAAAGTCATATCAACAGAAATTTTCCTAGTTCAAGTGCCATTATATGTTTTATGTTCATGTTCAAAGTTGTGCTTCGATTTTTTTTTTTTTGATAGATATCTGTGCTTCGAATTCCTATAGTCAACAAAATTGATTGAACCTTCCTTCAGAAGCATGATACATCACCATGATAAAGATGATGGTATGACAAATATGTGCATGCTCAGGTGTTATTGAAGACGGGGATCAATACTTGCACATGGAGATGCCAAAACAAAATTTCCATTCAAGTCACGGCTCAACATAAATCAGGTAGTTAGAATCATATCTTTTCCTTTTCACAAACTGAGCTGTGTATTTGTATTTAAATAATGCGAAAATTTAGCTGAATTTCTTTTGTGAGAAAGGTAGGATAATAGGATGGGAACACAAATCACAATAGCTTAATTGAAAAAAACTCGGATGGACGATTCAGTGTATGCCTGCCTCTTAATTCCAGCCCAACCTACCATACAGAGCTTAAAGTTATAAAATCACGTTGTCACGAAGAATACTTGGGCGTGACTCAACTCTCAAGGGGATTCGGTCCATTCTATCCCTCCTAAAATTTTAACAAGTTAATCATACTTGGAGAACAACTGATACAACCAGAGTACTGCCGCTATTTCCCTACCCATTTGGCTAGAGTCGTTTGGAAAGATGGTTGTGACTGCAGAAACACCGAACAACTTCAGAGCGGCCAAGAACTTACCCACCAGAGAAAATCAGGGGGATTAGTTCCATTCTATACCTACAAAAATTTTAACTGGTTAAACATACTTGGAGAATAACTGATATACCGGAGTGTCCTGTCCCTGTTTCCCTAGCCATTTGGCTACAATCGTTCGGAAGGATGGTTGTTGTTGCAGAAACACCAAACAGCGTAAGAGCAGCCAAGAAGACCTTATCCACCAGACAAAACAATATATGCAATGTAGACGAAGTTTTCGCACAAAAAAGGGGGGAAAAACACCACAATGAATTGAGGACAAAAGAAGATCTGGAAAATAGGAAGACTTTCGAAAACAAATAAAATCAAAATCAATGCAGAAAGAGAAAATTCAAGGCAAAATATTCCCCATCTCCAGATCAACCACGTTGGCCAAGTCTACCTAATAAGTTTCAGCTAAACAGAACCAACACTATGGAACGCAAGAATTCAATATCAAGACTTATATACGTATATTAGTCTAAAAGGTTCCAGCAGTGAAGTTAATATTCAACCAAAAGATCCCAAATAAAATAAAGTAGTAAATGTATAGATGTTCTCAATTCGAAGAATTGAGATAAAGCAAAATCCATCTGAAGACATGCATTATGAAAAAAAATGAATCAAAAGTTTTGACAAATTAAGGCAAAACATACCAAATTAATTGAATGAATTAGTTAAAAATAAACAAATTTTCCTCAAAATCGATTATTTGAGATCAATATTTATCTTATAAAACACCCAAAAAGTAAATTAGGGCAAACCATACAAAAAAAGGTTCGCTCTTGCATACCTTCAACAAAATAAGAAGATGAGGGCCACCCTCTGATCGACTTAAGAGAGAGCATTTCCTCCTCCGTTAAAGGATTCGCTAACTTCCCCACCAATTCAACTATTCCATACGGCCGTTTCCGCGGCGGAACCCAGTAAGACGACCCGGGGATGAACGGCAACCAATCTGGTGCCGATCTCCTTACAATAATCCCATGAATCGCTTCCTCGAGCCTACGCAATCCCAATACCTCGACTTCGCTTTCGGGATCCAAATCCACCTCGATCAGCTGCGCTTTCTCCGATCGGTTGGATCTGTTCCGGTGGTTTACCAAGCGCGATGAGGGAGCAAAGGGAGGTAATTTACTAGAGAGAAATGTGGGCGAGGAAGTTCTGATTAGGGTTTGAGATATGATTCGAGCCATGAAAATCCAAATCTGGGAATCGCAGAGAGAGAGAGAGAACGAACGAGAGAGGGAGAGAGGAGCAATTTATATGGATTTTGCGAGCTCTGTAGAAAAGGACACGTCACATGTTCGACGTCGATCGTGATAGACAGTTGTTTCAGTCGTTTGATGCCGTGAAGAGAATGTTAAATGTTGCTAGATTGTGATACACTGTATAGGGATTACCTAAGTCAATACTTCTCTACTGCCGAGATGGGATCCTAAACAACATAATATTTAATCTACAAAGATCCAATGGTTAAAATCTCCAAGACATATCTAGGACCATTTTTTCTAATCAAGATCGTTAGATATTTTCCATCTCCTCAAATCAGGTAGACCGAAAAGTACATCTCCAGTCGTTTGTTTTGTTGAACCTGTGGGACCCACGCGGAGGTTCCCACGTAAGGATCTGGGCCATTTTTGGGAATTGCTGATTGCTGAGAACGCCCCCTTAGACGGTTCGAGACTTCGAGTAAATGAGGAATGCTAATACACAGCTAATTTATACAACTCTTTGTTTTATTGACGCTACAGACAAGATGGGACCACGAAACGCCATATCTAACTCTCTTATCGGGCATGTTACCTTGGTCCCACCATCTTTATACAGAAGATTGTATAAAATTCGCTACTTATTAACATTTTCTCTCCAAATAAATAGTCTGAACGCGAATAAAATTGGAATCAGGTTAAACTTTGTATAGTTGAACTGTGGAACACATGAACCGGATGAAACCGTGAATTCTCAACCCGGACCTCATTCATCCCGCTAATTAGTAATTATCAGTCGGGATTAAGAATGGGAAGAAGAGGGAACCCGTGGACCCCACACGTCAGTCCGACATGGCATATCACGATTGGTTTGACATCGTCCAGAAAGCGTAGAGGATTCGGGCTCGGTAATAAATGGACCGGAGTATAAAAGTATACAAAGTGAACCCGCATCCGATATCCACAGGGGTAAAAGGAGATGCATACTTTTAGCCACCAAAGCGCACTGTGCACACGTTAGCAGGTCGTGCGTCATCATAGCTTTCAGGGATGATACCAGTGGTATTACGGTCCAGTGTTTTCTGAAGGTGGGTTCTGCGTTGGATCACGGGTTGACAAAAATGAGTTGTGTCGTTGCCTCGTTGGTGTATTGAGTCTATTGACCAAGCAATAGACTCTTCGGAGTGGCTTGGGTGTGGCGCGACGACACGCGAAGTTGCTGTGTGGGCCCACAATTCACCAAATGCTCCGTAATCATAGCCGATCACAAGACCTCTCACCGAAGATAGTATGGGCCCATAGTTTCAAATCTTAATTATGAACCGCATAATTTCCCAGCATATCCACGACACAATTTATTTCAAGAAGGTTGCCGGGAAAGTTTACCGGCGACAGTTAACTGTTCAATCTGAGACAAGGACAGCTGTCCGGTCATCGGTCACCATTTTGACGGGCTGAGTCCGTCAACACGTCAACGACAATATCGAAACCCTGCAAAACTAAACTACAACTTATTTATCACGACTGATCCAAAAAATTCCAACAATAAGAGAAACTCGCGACTACCCATTGACTGTCCCATGAAGAGGGGTAATGTTGAAGGCGGGAGACGGATCCACTCGCCCCACGCGGCTCAATGCAACGAGGATGTTTGGGATACATCTGGCAATCGGGTCGTGTGGGTCGGGTTCGGGTTGGGTGAGGCATTTTCGGATTGATTTTGGTTCGGGTTAGTGAATGCTACACCCTGACTTTAAACATTAGGGTTAGGATTGACCCAATTCTATGAATTATTGAAGTTTTAAAAAATGAAACATGAAGAATTTAAGATGCCAAATAAACCATTAAATGAATTAATCTAAATTTTTAATCTTGAAAAGAAAGTTTGCATCATGGTTTTCAAAACCGGATCGGACCGGACAGTTGGACAGGAAAAACCGGGAACCAATCACCCATTTTCCCCCAAAACTGTTTTTTTTTCCCAAAATCATTGATTTTGGTCAACAAACTGTTGAACCGGCCGGTTAACCATTCGAAACATTTGAATCGTTCAAAAGGTTTTGATCGTTTTTCATTTTTTTTAATTTTTTTAATTTTTTGTCAAAACGGGCCGACCATTTGGGTTGAACGTCGGACCATTCAAACCGGTAACTGAACCCCTGACTGGTTCAATCACCGGTTCGGTTTTAAAAACCATGGTTTGCATTCAATTGATCTTGATGAAAGAAAAGATTGACTCTTCCTCTAACAAATTTACCAACAACTATAAAAAACTATAAAATTAAAAAAGTCAACAATAAAAGTAAAGATTAAATACCAAAGAAAAACTAACGTAAATAGATGACTACTATTAGATGGCTAAAAGATATATGCAAATGTCTCAACGTCCAATAAAAATTAAATAAAAAATCAAAATAACTTTTAAGTTTAAACACATTCCATCATTTCTAAAAGTTGTTCCTCCTAAAACTCTAATGGACTTAAAGCTTCCAATGATGATCCTTCAAGAATGCTTGACTCATTTCCTTGGTCTCATTATCATCAATTAAGAAGATAAAATATTAAAGCATTAATGATGTAAGCAATATATATGATAATTAAACAAAAATATATATTATTATCTAAATAAATTATAATGTTTGAAATAAATCAAAATAAAAATTTATTTGACCATGATATCCAAATAACCAATTACGAGTAATGATCAAAGCTTTGCATTTTCTGGCAAAAGAGAAGCTATCCATTTGGTTAGAACTCTACCTCCCATACTAAAGTTGACTCTGAAACAACAGTAGTTATAGGAATACTTAATAAATCCAATGCCAAAAGAGATATTAGAAAACTGATACTGGTTATCTTTCCACCAAGAAAGAACATGCCCTCCACTCTCATGGCCGTGGTGGAGGTCCAGCATGAGGACCTCGGCTTCAGCCGAAAGGAGTGTGCTAATGGTGTTGGGTGGTGTTGTCGGAATTCTGAATGTGATGTGCCATGCGGTGGCATCATTTTGACTTGGTCCTCCCCTCTTTCTGGGGCGAGCCATGGGGGCCTCTCCCATTGGGAGGCTTCAGCCTCGGCTTTGAGGTTGTCCTCGTAGGTGGGTGAGGGAGAGGCCTTGCCCCTACCCAGTTCCAGTGCTGACGTGGAAGCAAATCCATTGTTACCTCAGCCTCGGCTACAAGGGCCTTCGGCTGGGTGCCCTGGCGCCTGAGCTGGTGACTTGGCCACCCACGGATGAAGCTCATCTTCATCAAGTAATCGTGGAGGAGATCAGTTCTGGGCAAACCGGGTTGTGCAGCCAACGGGTCATAATGAGTCAGCCGGCCAATTCGTTCGGTGTCGTTTCATCTTCCCGACGCGAGAGACGCGTATCGGCACGCAGACGAGGTCGTGGAGGCGGTCGTTGCGTGGCCATTTTTGGATGGGGTGCGATTTGGGCCGTTCATTCTTCTATAAATAGGGGCCTTAGTCGCCATTTTCCCCCACATTTGCTCTTGACTGCTTCCTAATAAACACACTCTCATCTTTAGAACTTCTTCATCCTAAGTAAACTTCTCACCAAGTCTTACTCTAACTGCGGCCTGAGAGACCCCCCTAGTGGTTTAGGAGGAACCGGTTCCAAGTCAAGCCTGAGGACGGTAGCCAATTATGCCTTTTGAGGTGTGCATGTATAGCATTTGCCACGCTTGGAGCATGACAACATCTTAGATGTCAATCAGATGAAGTCTTTAGCCAAGAGGTACTACATCCCTCGATCCTACAAGTTGAGGATGCCTGACACTGGTTACCGGCTATGGATGCTAGAGGAGGGGGAGATATGTGTTTATTAGCACTTCCTTGAGTTCGGCCTCAGGTTCCCCCTTCATCCATTGATCTCTGAGTTGCTGAAGTGGTACGGGATCACTCTTTGTCAGTTGGCCCTAAATGCTCTTAGGACCATCGTTGCCATGTTGGTAGTGGCTCAGTTTTGGGACATGGACTTGATGCCGAAGTTGTTTTGAGCCCGTTTTGTGTCGAGGGCACATACTACCGAAGACGACATGTATTATTTCCATCCTCGAAGAGACCAAACTATAGACAACCCGTCATCCGTCCACATTTGGAAGAGCAAATTCTTCTTTGTCTCTTGTCCTGAGGGTTGGTCTCTCAAGTTGGGTTGGGGGGAGATCTACATGTCTACCGAGAAGCCTAAGCTAACACTTCGAGACGATGAAGCCACCGCAGTAACCCATCTTCTTGTTTTGGGAACTCTTTGGGTAACGCCCCTAGTGGAGGCCAAGCTCCCCTTGGTTTTTGCGGGGCTCAACTCTGCTCCCCTTGTTAGGAAAAGTCCTTGTGTCAGCTATTTGACATGTCAGATTTCCTTTTACTTGGTACTTATTTCTTGCTTCTTCTTGTAGAGATGTCGTTAGATGCCAAGCGCATGCTACTAAAGAGTGCTCTAGCAAAGAAGAAGGCTCCGAGAGAGGGACTATTGGGGCAGATGCCGAGGAAGCCGACCGAAGAACTGAGGGTGCTGTTCGGGCAAGGAGAGGTGCAGAGCCTGCCAAGAGGACGCCTTGGCCACAAGCCCCCACCAGTGAAAGGGGTGACAGAGGGAAGAGGCTGGCGGATGGAGGTCGGCCGAAGGAGATAGGCAAGAAGAGGCCGACCGAGGAACCGAGGGTGCCCCCGACGAAGAAACTAGCGCATAAGGACCGCCCCACCAAGGGTGACGAAAGAAGGAAGGACGCTCCCATTGCTCCAAGGAGGCCTTTGGCCAAGGGGCCTGTGACTAGGCCTTTCTCCGCCCCTCCATCTACGTCGGAGCCAACCGAGGAGGGACAACACCTCGTATGGGCGTTTCGGCTGAAGTGGAACATTTGCGAAGGCAACTCCATTGATATCGAGGGGGTTGGCCGAGCTTTGGTGAAGGGGATGATCCCTTAAGGGGACCGTCTTGGTACGATAAAGTCTGACCCCCTCCTCATCCGGGATCAAAGGCTAGACTTTCTATCCAAGGTGAGATTCAACAAACTCTTAAATAGCTTTTCTACTTGCTTTCACTTGCTTGACTAACGGAGGTGCTTTTTGTAGGTTTTCCGACATTACATTGGACTGAGAGATCGGGTTGGCCTCCTCCTCGACCGCGTGGGCTGAGCCAAGGAGAAGAACGAGCAGCTTGCTGTGCGGGTTGCTATGTCGGAGAGTGGCCAAGATGACGCCCTCAAGGCCTTGACCGACGAAAGGCAACTTCGGTAGACACTAGAGGACAACTTGAAGGCGGAGCAAGCTCATCTTGATGGGGTTGGATTGGCTGAGGTCAACACTGTAAATTTACTTCCCAAGCCGAGGTGAGGCTGAGGGATTCAAAGCCTAAAGTCCTAGGTTTGAGGTCTGAGGTCCACAGGGCAAGGTGCCTAAAGACTTGCGAGCAGGTCTTGTGAGGAGGAAAGGGTCAAAGGCCTCGAGAGGGAGTCAGACAAGGCCACAGGAGAATAGGTAATCTCAAAGACTAGTGAGATAGCTTGACTTCTAAATCCTTTACCTAGAGGGAGTCACCTCCTATTTATACTTGAAGTCACCTGGGGGCTATAAAGCCCAGACGGTCAAGATGGAGTCCGTACGCGGGGAGCGCGGCCATCCGAGGCCACCATGTAACCTCGCGCCATTGGTTTTGTGAAGCTCGCCAAACTCAGGGAGCGCACGCGCCCTGATTGGTCTTGACCTGAAGCACACCCTAGGACACACGTAGAGCTACAGTTGGACGAGCTAATCGCGCCTACATCACCTTCTTTCAAAAAAATAAAATTTCAAGCAGAATCATGATTTATATCACAACTAATATTAAGGTGCTTAGTTCAAGGGGCGGGGCAGCACCTTAATATTAGTTATGAAAATAAGTACACTAATACAATTTTGGAGCATATGGATGATTTGGATTGTAGAGTTGAAGATGTGACAATTCAATGGTCTTTGTAGACTGTTTGGATTGAAGATAAGATCCTTCCATGGTCCACAATATCACAATGGCCTAGAGAGACACTTGGGAAAAAATTTAGATGCCATCCATAAGAAAGCAGAGGTTTTTAAATAGGGAAAAGTCCTGATTAATACCCTATACTTTGGGCCTAGGGCCACTTTGGTCCCCGAACTTTAAAATGCGACAATTCGGTATCCAAACTTTTAAAAGGTGACAATCCAATACCTGCCATTAATTAGTTGTTAATCAGCCATTAAGTGGTATTTTAAAAAGACACAAATGCCCTTCAAGTGTTATTTAATTTTCTTTATCAACCATTTAAATGTTGACAAAAAATTAACAGTCCCAAATCTTTCCCTTTTCAATTCATGAAATTTGGGGTCACATTTGAGTGGGCATTCTGGTGACCCCAACTTTCTTAAATAGAAGAGGCAAGAATTTGAGACCATTAATTTTTTGTTAATGTTTGGATGGTTGATAAAGAAGATTAGATGACACTTGAAGGGCATTTGTGTCTTTTTCAAATACTACTTAACGATTGGTTAACAACTAGTTAACATCAGGTATTGGATTGCCATGTTTTGAAAGTTTGAGTAATGAATTGTCGCATTTTAATGTTTGGGGACCAAAGTGGCACTAGGCCCAAAGTACAGGGTACTAATCGAGAATTTCCCTTTTAAATACTTGCAGATAACCTTTTGTTGTCCTTCAATTTGGATTCGAGCTAAGATCTGGCTCAACCATTAAGTCCATTGCAGCCTGTGATTTAATTAGGGCAAAAATGGGTTCGGTTTACAAGTTTCAAGGTTTGAAATCCGCTTCCAATTTGTCTCCTAGAATTGAAATCTTTTCTTCAATTGTCTTTTGATTGTCCTTTCCCTCAGCCCCATTACAATGTAGGCCTCACTAGGCCTCCTTCCATGGCTTTACTTTTGTTGGGTTGCTCATACATTTATCACATACAAAAAAAAATACAACAAAGGTAGGGATGGCAATTTCTACCCTACCTGGTGGATGCTTGTCTCGATGGGATGGTTGTTTTTCTCTTGAAGGATGGGTTTTGGGGGTAATGACGAGTTTTGGGATTCTACAAACCATATGGGTATGGGTAGGGTATGGTGGCTAAACCCAACCCTCCCCAACCTATATATTGTTGGAAAACATATAAACTTTATGTATTAGGTATTGAATTTATTAATAGTTTGAATTTTATGTGAAGAATAATTAATACTTTATGTATTTTTTATATTAATCAAATAATTGGAATTTTGTTGTTTGTTTGTGTTATTTTACTTATTTATTACTTATATATAAAGAGAAATAATAGGAAATTAGATGTAGGCTTTGTAGGTATATGGTGCTCACTCAATCCTTCAAAGTATAAAAGATACCAAATTGATACCATATGGACGTTAGCGATGAGTCCGTAACTCATCAGTCGCCTACGATGAACTTATAGTTTATTGAACATTTGCGATAAATGCATGATTCATTGCACGTTCACGATGAACACGCAGTTCATCGCGCATTTACAATGAACTTGCGCTTGACACGAGCTTAAAACAAGTTTAATTAAACTTGTGATGAAGTTTACACACATGCGGTTCTGCGATGAACTTACAGCATAACTTTTCGATAAACCTCAAATATATGTGGCCTTTTGATGAACTTCAGAGGTACACGGGCTTGTGATGAATCTGAGACCACTACAGAACTGCGAATCATGGTAAACTGGAACTAAATATCGGTTACACATGTAACTTTAAGTTACATACATAATAAGGTGCCACATCGGTTAAATAAGACACGAAAGGAAGTAGTATACATGGGTTATGAGAATCCTCGAGCGAAAGGAAAGTCAGCCCTTGAGGGATCTCTTAGGACTCGTGGTGAAACCCTAGTAATGCTCCTTAATGACTGACATCGAATCTAATATTCCCCTTCCTAATAGGAATCAAACACTTTTGGCTCATTCCTTTCGGGATTTCGGGATCCCTCCTTATAAATAAGGACTCTCCTTATAACGAGATTCATTCATGAACTAGTATTGAACCCCTTGCTCAGCCATCTTGTCACCCCTCTTTTCACCCTAGCCTTCTGGTTGATTCCTTGCTCTCGGCCTTCCTTTGTCTCTTGAGGAGACCATTCCCACGATGCCTAACCACACCCTACCTATAGGTTCTAAACCCAACCCATCCCTACCCTTAAATGCATGAAGGGTTAGGTCGGGGAGGGTTTTGCATTTTTCATATTCAATGATGGTTTAGATTCTCAAAATCCAACCTGCTATAGGTTTTGAGGTGGGTACAATTTAGAGGTTTAGGGAGGTATGCACCATTCAAATCTAACACAAGCACCAAGTTTTTTGTTCGGATCTCGTACCCACAAGAGCCTTATCTATCTACATACCACTATAGCTGCACATTATGTATATCTTACGTATTTACATGTTACGTACAATAGTAATGTCCCATGGCTAGGTGTGTATAAGATTCTTGTGGGTTAGAGATCTGGATTGCCAAATTTTGGCTATTTGGCTTTCCCTATACCACAATATTAAGTTTAACTAAGAGAGTGTCGTAATGGATTCCGGATCTCCTGCCCACATCTACCCACAACACACTATTCCATGCATTGAAAGCATCTCTCCTTATATAATACTATGTACTAAAATGAAATGTTGTACATATGTGGCTGCCATGTTATGTGGATAGATGGGCTTTTAATTGTTTCCATCAGCCAAAATCATCAAAACAGGCCTGTCTGGCCTGCGATGGCCCACATGTACAGTGCCATGCCATGTCGAGTATGGCCCAAACCCCTGGTCGGGTTAAGCAAGGGTTTGAACACGTGGGCCGGTTCGACCCAACACAGGCTCATGGGTCCGGGCCAGGCCAGCCTAACACGGCCAACATTATACTTTATATCAAAATATGATATTTTTGAATAAATCTGATTCCGCATCTTATATTATTAGTCGAGTCAAATGTGAATTCGGATTAGGGCTGTGGAATCAATGGTAACATCCCAAGCCAGTAATAAAATACATGAAACTGGCGTGAAGATCAAATCTTTGTTTATTTATTACTCATTTTGACCTCTCATGAATTATTGTTTTTTGTTTCTTGATTAAATTAATGTGTTTTTGTTGAGACAAAGGGGTTTGCTTGAGAATTGTTTGATAGGAGGAAATTACTAGGCAGGAGAGAAAGAAGAAAAAGGAGCTTTGATGTAATCACTGATGATGGATGCATTATTATTAATCAAATCCTCACCTAAGTTTAAATAAAAAGCAGTAAAAACAGGAACCATGCATACAAATCAAAGCTTGCTCTTTGTTATGGGCACTGGTTTAATTAATGAAGCTATCTTAGCTCAATAATATCAAATTACACTCTCAATTTCTATTTTAAATCAACAACTCTTCTTATATTTAATTTTGATCTTTATGACTTGAACCTCAAGAAATCTCTGGCTGTATTTATTTAAGAAGTATGGACTCCATGCATACATTACTATTTCCTGCAAACTCGACCAGTGGGTGAGCTGAGAGCCTGAGAGCCTGAGACTCTACTCAGTATCAATATGGCAGAACATCAGATCATTAACCCTTACGAGCGTCTACAGATCGTCCACAACTCGGATGACACGCTCACACGACTCAACCATCTCCCCACCACCGCTGCAACTGATGACACCGCCGATCAAAAGTCCCACACCCTAGTTCTTTCCAAAGACATCCCACTAAACATCGTCAACAAAACTTGGGTTCGAATATTCCGACCCCCATCTCACACCTCCTCCGTCAAGCTCCCTCTCATGGTTTACTTCCATGGCGGTGGCTTCATCCTCAGGAGCGCAGCCTCCACAATCTATCACGACTTCTGCTCAAACATGGCCATTCAACTGCCTGCCTTGATCGTCTCCGTCGAGCACCGCCTCGCTCCCGAAAGCCGCCTCCCAGCGGCTTATGAGGATGCAATCGAAGCGTTGCACTGGGTTAGGAAACACGCCTCGCAGAGCGTCGTTAATGGCGAAGACGACTGGTTGAGCAGAGACTCGGTTGATTTCTCTCGGTGCTATCTCATGGGCAGCAGCTCAGGCGCTAATATTGCCTTCCATGCACGATTACGAGCTCTGACGATGTTTTCGGATGCTGCTGATGAGCCCCTGAAGATCATCGGTCTTATCATGCACCACCCTTTCTTTGGTGGGTTTCAGAGAACAGAATCGGAGATGAGATTATTCAACAATCCGAGATTTTCCATGTCAGTTAGCGACTTGATGTGGGACCTGGCGTTGCCTGTAGGGTCTGATCGTGATCATGGTTACTGCAACCCACTGAAAGTTGGTGAGAGCTGCCATGGAATTGGGTTGCTGGGGAGGTGTCTGGTGACTACCTGCGGTGGGGATCCCCTGATCGACCGTCAGACGGAGTTCGTGAAGATGCTGGAGGGAGAGGGTGTAAACGTTTTGGCTCAGTTCGACGAGGAAGGTTACCATCTGGTGGAGCTCTATGAACCAGACAAGGCTCAGGCCCTACTTGTTATAATAAAAGATTTCATTTTTCAGTTGCAGGCTCAATCGGAAGAGAGCAGTTGAGCTTGTATATTTCGTTATCATGAAAATTAAATAAAGTAATTGATGAATATGAATATAATATATATAAATTCCAGAGCCAGACTTGATAAACATGGCGCCTTCTGAGTTCATGGGCAGTCTGCAAATAGTATTGATAATGGTGGAAGAAAGATCTCTTGTTGAACATGTTTAATTTAGGAGTTTGTCTGATCAAAATATTGTATCAGGAGGTTTAAGTCATCTAGAGTTCTAATGGAGATACTCGTTTCAGCCTTCTTTCATACGGTGAAAATATTACAATGTCTCGGTAATACGTATCGGTTTTCTGAATCCATCAAAAAGCCAGATATTGAGATTTAAGAGGACTGGCAATTTTCAGTCGTTAATACCCTGCAAGGACCATCTCTGGTTCAAATATTAAAACCTGAAAGTAATTCTACCATGAATATTGCCACTCTGAATCGATACAATATGCAATTTTTTATCAAGTATTTTTTTGAAGGATTTTTTTTTATCAAGTCTAAAGTATCGAATATTGCATTGTATCGTAAACGTATACTTCAGATCTGCTGACCACAACATATTGATTGCCACACGCTATGTATCACACATCAGAAATGTTGGTTGTACTTTAAAACATCCATATTCGTTATGTAGATGAAGGACTCGTGGGTTTGATGTCGGAAAGGCATGATAGTTAATAAACTTATAGTCAATGATTAAAGCATCGGTATCGAGTTTCGTATCAGATAATTCAAATACGAATACAGATATGCTTTGAAAAAGCATGGATATGAACGAAAAATATAAAAACACTTGAATACATTAGTGAAATGCATACAAATCATATAAATATATTAATCATACTAAACCAAAAGCTGAATTATCTATGAATAAGATATAAACACATGAGAGATGCATACTTCAATAGGTTATATGAAGAGAAATATTACAATAAACAATATCGGGACTCTAAAACATTCAAACATTATACAATAATTATCACTCTTTCAATTTTATTACTATGATTTTCACTTTTTATTAATTTTTGGGAATATTTATTAAATTATTATTTTATTTAAATAACAATTATTTTTAAATAATAAAATAATAAATATTCTTATTAATTTTTGGGAATTTTTAACATATAATGTTTTTATTTTACACATAATTGTAAAATAAAACAAATAAATCATTTAAGGTAGATAAAATAAATTATATTTAATTTTCAGTTTTTGTTAAATTTTTTGGGAAAATTAAATCTTAAATTATTCTTTTCAGTTTTTATAATTATAGTTTTCTGTTTTTCATTAATTTTGTTGGGAAAATTTATTTATTTAGTATTTTTATATAATAACTCTATTTTTTCAAATAATAAATATGCTTTCATTTTTTACATATAATTATGTATAAAATAAAATATATAAATCATCTAAAGTAGATGCAATATATTATTTTTATAATCTTTAGTTTTTATTAATTTTTTTGGAAAATTAAATCTTAAATTATTTATTTTAGTTTTCACAATACTATTTTTTACCATGTATTAAAGATGGAAAACAATCCAAAGATACTCAATGTATAATTTTGTCAAACTAAACATGGATACACCTCTATATTGGTGTGTACCGGACTGTATTCACCGATACGGTACGATACAGCCCAATAAGAAAGTGTATCGTATCAATACGCATGACTCGTAGGATACGTATTCAATCGTAGTGTATTGCGTATTCATAATTATGAATACTTATATGATGTATTGAAAATATCGTATCCATGTAGCCGTCAAGTGATAACCAATCAGCACTGGGTTCAAGGGTTAATTGATCAAAGTCTGTAACTATGAAGCTAATTTTATTAAAAAAAAAAAGTATCAGTCAATCGAAATGCGAGATACAGTGATAAACATTTTTCTGTATCGTGCGTGTGGATGTTTTCAGGAGTAATTTCTCTTTCAATTTCCTAACACCTTCTGGTAATTACATATAAGCCAAAGGCGGTAGAAGTTGCAAATTTGCCATGCTTATGCAACCCAACAACTTCAGTGGCGTTTGGTAACCTTCTGAAGGAACGCTCTTGGTGTTCAGGATTCCAGCCTTCGGAGAACTAAAGATGAGTTTACATCCTCTTTACCCATGGAAAGAACAGGCTGATGTGGCTGCTGAACCATTTAAAAAACTCACTTGAATTTTAAGATGGAAAGAACAGGCCAATGTGGCAAATTACTATTGGTCTGGTACAGAAAATTTTCTCTACCATAGGTACACTGATAGCAGAAAATTTTCTTCACCAACAAAAAAAATTCCATGCCATGACAAAGCTACTTGCCGATATACCAAGTATGCTTCCCTCAAACCAATTGATGGTGGCTTAAATTAGTAAGATCTCTAACTGGTTGAAACAGAGATACCTTACATTGGTTTCCTTCCACTCTTGCTAGCAGTGCAAGAAACAACCATTTTAGTTCTACATGCGAAATATTTATCTTGGAGATTTTTTTTGATTTTTCTCTGTACCAAGTGATTGAGTGAAGAAGAAAATGGACAAAAAAGAGAAAAAAAAGATGAATAAAAAAACATACCGACAAGAATGTGTCAAAATAAGAATAGCTATATAGCCTATATACGTATCAGTTCTGGTACTAAATGATTCAACTTTAACGCCTCCATGTCGAGTTGCTGTGTCTGGATGGCACATCTAAAAAAATAATCACCAACCAACGAAGAACTCTGAAGACAAATCAGACCAGTGGAAACTCTTGTGAGGCTCCAATGACAAGGTTTCACTGACGTATAAAAAAATATTTTGTTAAATTGAATAATCAAAATGACAAGTGAACTCTACTCTAAAGAGTATAATCATTTTTTATGTTCTAACACAAGTTGCAAAAAGGCAAATCCAGACCTCTGACAGATGAAAGAAAAGGAAGAAATAAAAATAAAAATAATATACGCACATGCATATCTTTCTGCTATTTTTTTTTTTGGGGGGGGGGATGGTAAGAGATCACGATACAGAATAAAGACATGCAGATCAAGCTTCTTACCAGAAGCTCAATGGGAACAACTGATTTTTGCTTAATAAAGGCCCAACATTCGTAGCTCTGTGACATGTGAAGGATCAAGCTCAGGGTGAGTCTTATTATCTTCTCGGCTCTCCACCACATACTCCTGGCAATAAATTAATATGAGATCCCAGCTGAATAAGTTATAAAAAGGTACGATAGAAATAAAGATTCAAAATTAGTGAAATTAGAGTTCTTGTATAACTGATCTCTTGATTCTGGAAGAAGACAATGGCAGATCAAATCATGAAAACCTCCCCGATCCATACTAAGAAAAGCAATCATTGATAAAATCTCTCATTTCTTATTCTCACTCATTGCTGATGACTTCAGTTGGTTAATCTCAAGGGTAGGCAGAATTCGCTTAGACAAAAAGTGAAAGAATTGGAAGGAAGCAGGCATTACAATTTGTGGACAATACTATCCTTCTCTTTGGAAAAGGGAGGAGTAGAGGGGCAAGGAATCTGCAACTTTTAATCAAGTATTTTGAAAAGATTTCAAATTTGAAAGTTGTCCTTGAGAACAGTTGCATCGTAGGTTTCAATATGGATGATGGAGAAGTAGCTAGTTTTGGTGCAGTGTTAGGTAATATATGAACTATTCATTACCTTTCAGTGTTCAAGATTCCCCTTCTTGTTGTGAAAAGACTTAAGAAGAATATGAAAGATTTCTTGTGGAGGCCTGGGAAAACCTGAAAAGATTTATTTGATTAGCTGGGCAGCAATGATAAAAGTAAGGGGGACGTACTGGATTTAGGAAGATTGGTAAAAAGGAATTCTATTTTGTCGGGCAAATGGTTGTGGAAATTCCTGTTGGACACTGAAACTATGGCATAATTTGATTGTAAGCATCTATGACATGCTGTCAAATGGTCGTAATGTTGCTGTGACTATTAGAAAGCATCATTAGTATCTTCCTAGAAAGCCAAACTCACATTTGGTATGATTTTTTATTTTTTTTGATAAATATTTGGTATGATTTCTATAATGGAAAATAAGATTCAATTCTTGTAAGATTCATAGTAGAAAGATGAACCTCTTCTTGAGTGATTCCCTCTCCCTCATTCCATCTCTTCTTACAAGCATAAACCGACTTCCTTTTTGTCTCTAGTTCTGACACAGATGTTTCTTGGTCTTTGGAGAGCATAAATCTATTTCTGTTTATTTGGAAGGTAATCTCCTTGACAATTAAAAAACCAATTGTCACATTTGGACTGATAACCCCTTAGGAATATTCTCTTGTGCTTCCTTTTTCAAGTCTTTCTCAACCCATCCTTTTTGCAGGCTTTTCTAGCAAGGTCTATTTGGAGAAAGCTGGTTTCACCTAAAGGGCTTTTTGTTTTGTTTTGTCTTGGTTTTTTTCTTTTTCCTGGGGGGTGGGGGGTGAGGCAAAGTATAATTGTTTTACTAAGAAGAGAGATTTTTATTGAAAGGTATATCACTTGAAAATCAACACTTGTGAGACTCTTCAAAGGAGATGATCCAATTGATGTCTGTTCCCCAACAAGTGTTTTTCTTTGCAATGTAAGCTATAAATCTACTTTCTGTCTATTATACCTCTACCTGTGTGTATCTAGCATTTGGAAGTGGTTCTTTTCTCTATTTGTTTGTAGGTGAACTCCTCTAGGAGATGTGGAAAACCTTTCCATGACCGACCTTCTCACCATACCAAAGAAAGTAGAGAAGAAAATGTGAAAGTGTACAAGTACAGATACTCTATGATCAATTTTGGAGGAAGAAAATGTGATAATATTCGAGGGCACAATCAAAGGACGTTATCATTGAAAACATATTAATAAAGATGGTACATTGGCTTAAAACCTTAGATGCTTTTTCCCCCACCCCGGCACCCCGATTTCTATAGATGATGTTGGGATTCTGCTCAACACAGACTCTTCTTCGAGGGAGAGTTCCTCCAACAGAGAGAGAGAGAAAGAGAACTGAAATTATTCTTCTTGTTCCTTGGTAATTCCTTACAATCTCTTTTATACTTTTCTTTTGCTTGCTCCTTAACAGACTTACACAGTTTACAGCTGGCATCTTGCAACCGCTTCTTGCATCCTTAGTTAGATTCTTGGTTCCCACTTCTTCTTCTGTTGGTGGTTGCTGACGTGGCTTCTTTTTTCCTCTCCTAAAATAGGTGTTTACCACCACTGGCTTGAATTGTCTCCCTGAAGAGTTCCTAACAGATGACATCATCTGAAGGTGGAAATGTATGGCATTTTCTTCCTCAATTACACATATTACCTAGTGAATTGGTGCCCACCCACCTACATCCAACTGAAATTAAACTTTTGATAGTTGACACATGCATAACCCCAACAATTCTGAAATAGAAGTCTTAACAGTCAAGGGGCCATACTAGCCAAGTTCTGAAGATCCATAGGTTTGGGAACTCAAATTTTTTTTTTTTTATCATCAAAGGGTTTGGGAACTCAAATTAGAGATGAATTACTACCTGTCCTGTGATTGAGGTTAGGTAGATCTCTAAATTTTATAAAGCTAGTGGTAGAAGATTCTCAGGTAATAGTGGGATGGCTAAAGAACAATAAAGAAGGCCATGGGAATACCAACACACCATGAGGGAAGTAAACTACCTATCAATTGGAAACCACCTTCATTTGGCTGCAGATTTCATCCAACTGTTTGGCCAACAGATTGCCACACACGTAAGATGAATAGGGTTCAAGTGTTCAATTCTTTTGGAGGATATCTCTCAATGGTTATTAAATGTGATAAGAATGGAGTTAGGTTGCAGACTAGCAGGGGCTAGCAAAAAAGGGTTTTTAGCACTGATTGTACATACCTTTTCTTTATTATATAATCAGTGGAGTTTTGATTGTTACCAATTAAAAAAATAAGAAAAACAAAGATAAAATCTCAGTCTTTAATGGAACTTTCATGTTTACAGAACAGTCAGGTATCCCTTTGATTGTTTGATTCATAGCTCTTGGCCTACTGATTTGTAGCTCAACAATTTGATAGCTTGGTGCTTGATCAAGAAAATTGCTCTACTAATAAACCCAAGAATAAAATCAGTGCAAAGACTCTGAATTGAAGGATGAAAGAAACTCATCATTTCATGATAGAGCTTATAGCTTAAGTGAAAACCTTCAGTTCTATGACATTTGTTAGTTAGCTAGGAGATAAGAATCATTTATGATGACATTCTATCCTATCTTGGAGAGTTATTCTTTTGTTAATTATCCAGAAAAAGACAACAATAGTAAGCTAAAAACGGATAGAGCACCCATTTTGAGGTGTTCAAGAAATGAAGAGTTAAAGGAAGGTTCTAACCATCAAGATAGTTTTATACAATCTTTGAAAAAGAAGCTTCAACAAATCCCATAGAAACCTCAAGTTTAGGGATAGTTATATATATTTTTATTTTTTTATATTTAAATCCTCCATTATTAAGTTGTTAACATTTTTGTGCACAATGCAAAGAATAGTTCTATTTCACTGCTTTAAGACTATAGTGGCAAAATAAAAATGTAATTATTTCATCTAAAACTTACCAAAATATCAGTCATAAAAGATATTATAAACATTCCAGACTCATTATCAAAATTAGGTATTTTCCCTGAGGAGATAATCCAATATTTTAAAATAAACAATATCTCACCAGAACATAGGGGCATAACTACAAAAAGGCCATATTTTTCAAGGTATAAGGATGATGTAGGACCAGCTCAGTTCTAGTCCTTAGAGAATGTTGAATGGTCTTCTTGGATCAGAATTTTATGGCTGTTGATGGATGTAATGGTTTCTTGAAGGAATAAGAGAGAAAATAGAAAGAGAAAGAAGAGAGAAATACTCACCATAGCTAGCATAAGCTAAAGAAAACTCGATAAACTTCATTGCCTTTGTGTAAAACGTCCATACATATTTATAGACTCTAAACTCATAATAAACCTAGGAGTCAAAACTGCTAGACTAAATAATCCTAATAGGACTCAAACTAAGCTGTCATATACTATTTTAATTCAAAGAAGACTCAATAACACTAATCCTACTTATGCAATGACTCTGAAATTTTAAATATAAACAAACTAAAACTATACAAATTAAACCCTATCAATGGACCCCACAAAAAATTGCAAAATTACAAAAATACCCCTACTGTCCAAAAATATAGAAATACATAAAATATCATAAAATTCCAATTTTGACTCTTCAGCTCCTGCATCATTCTCCCTCGATTCAAAAAAACTTGTCCACAAGTTTTGAATAACTTGAGGATGAATAGTTGATATGCCCCAATTAGAAAAGGAGGACTTCCCACAGCTACATGCTTAGACTGTAGAGTAGAGACCATACACAAAACTAGAAAAGGATCTTGAAAGAAATGCTTTTCTAAAACACTACCTTTCATAACCATCTTTGTTAAATCATCAATAACATTAGTTTCTTGAACACTTAATTCAACCAACCATTGTGATGAATCTTCCCCTCGCTTATCCAAACTCTCAACTCCAATATTTGGAGCTTTTCCTCCAACCTCTAGCTTAGGAATCATCATCTCTATACATTCTGCTATACTTGGTTCTTCAACAAACTCTAAGACTCCTTCCATTGTTGATGCTGGTGGAACTTGTGCTATGTCAGGTTGTAATTCTTGAATTAATTCTAGTTGAACTTGAAAGGTAAAGTCACTTACCTCCTTACAGGATCTACTACAATTAGCACATCTGTATTTTGCACCTAAATTTCTTTAACTTGCTCCACTTCTATTTCTTATTGATCATTAACCTCAAGCTGATCATGGATGTTGGAAACTCCAGCAATTTCTATTTTCTCTTGGCCTGCAATCTCTTGATTTTTAATATCTACAACTTCTATAGCTTGAAATTCTTCTTCTTTAGCTGCATCCCCAACTTCAGCTCTAGGATAGCATCAACATGCAAGGAATCATCTACTTTCATTTCAACTTTGTACCTTCTTCCCCTTGATTTCAAGTTCTTTGTTGTAACCTGTTGCTTCTTCTTTTGCTCGAAATTAGTCAGCTCCATATATAGATCATCATGAAAGTCTGGTGGGATGTACTTTTTCTTGCAAACACCTCTTCATGTCTACCCATGTACTAATTGGATCATCGCCTCTATTTTCTAGTTGTTGCTCAAGAGTTCTCCACCATACTTTAGCATAATCTGTCAACTTCATGCGTGCAAATCTAATCCTTTGTTTGTCAAACATATCATGTCAACCAAAATATTCTTCTAGTTCAGCAACCTAATAAAAAAATGCTTGTGGATCATCATCTCCTTTGAAATCTGGTATTTCCCTTTCTCTTCTAGCATGTTGAAAACCTTACTCCCGTAACTAACATTATTAGATCTGTTTTCTTCCACCATCTTTTCAAATAAGTCAACCAAAGACCCTTCATATGGTTCAGAAACCCAATCATCATTGATTTTAGACCTGTAAGATTGTTTAGAAGATACCCTAGGCCTATAGAATCGGTCACGTTGTGAGAACATAGTGAATAAACCGTTAGCTCTGATACCAAACTGATGTAGGACCAGCTCAGTTCTAGTCCTTAGAGAATGTTGAATCATGAATGGTCCTTCTTGGATCAGAATTTTATGGCTGTTAATGGCTATAATGGCTTCTTGAAGGAATAAGAGAGAAAATAGGGAGAGAGAAGAGAGAAAATACCTGGAATCACTCACAGGATGCCTAGAATCACTCTAGAGCATGGGAATCACTCACCATAGCTATCATAAGCTGAATAAAACTCAACAAACTCCATTGCCTTTGTGTAAAACGTCCATACATATTTCTAGACTCTAAACTCGTAATAATCCTAGGAGTCAAAGCTGTTAGACTCATAATAGTCTTAGGAGTCAAACTGTTAGACTCAATAATCCTAGCAGGACTCAAACTAAGCTGTCATATCCTATTTTAATTCAAAGAAGACTCAATAACTCTAATCCTACTTATGCAATGACTCTGAAATTTTAAATATAAACAAAAATATAACTAGAAAAATTAAACCCTATCAATGGACCCCACAAAAAATTGCAGAATTACAAAAATACCCCTACTGTCCAAAAATATAGAAATACATAAAATATCATAAAATTCCAATTTTGACTCTTCAGCTCCTGCATCAAAGGATTTTCATGAGCTTGAAATATCACCTTTGTTAGTTCTTGTTTGGCAAGTACATGGTAGTGGCGTTCATTGATCCTCTGCCCACAGATTATGGCTATGAAGAACCCATAGAGCAATCCCACCAAAACAATAGCCAAAACTGTGAAATTTAACAAAAAAAAAAGTTAAGATGCTCAATAATGATAAAACAAAGAGACCATGCTGAGTACCTGAAGACAACACATATGGAAATCTTTTATGCGCTCATTAACTTTAGGTGATTAAATCTAAGCATGGAATGAAGGTAACAATTGATCGGAGGATGTAATTCCTACTGACCCAAGCACCTTCACCCCCCCTGCCAGCCTGGCCCCTAATTGATTAACTCCACAACCTTTCTAATATATACCAAAACAAGAGTGTTAAACAACATTTGCATTGAGGATACAGCTTATGAATGAAACTGAGACCTGGTAACGAAGAAAAGAATACATAATTACCAACTCCTTGAATCATTTTAACCAAAAGTGTTAAATACTAAATAAGATATAGTATGACCTAATGTACAATAGGAAGCAATTATCCTACTAGAGTGTCTGTAGTGGATAAAGATGGATAGATATAATACAATAAAATATAGAAATCAAAGAAATAGAATGGGAGAGAGAGAGAGAGAGAGTGAGAACAGATCATGACTTAAGAGAGAAAGAGCAGCAAAACTTCAAAATAAACTCTAATCCTTTTTTTCTCTTCCAAAAGTTCAACTACAAATACTCAATATATACTTCTATAGATTCAGTATATGGGTTGTACTTGTAACTCAACTAGGAAACTAACAAAATGATTTCTAATTGCTTTAGAACTAAAACAGTAGGGACACTCAAATATGGATTCAAGCTCCTAAAACAACTCTAAATACCTATTAGTCTATTACAATTGTTTTTTAACAGATTAAATACCTACTACTAATTATACTAAAACTAAACAAAGCCAAAAGCATATCTAAAATGGACTCTAAAAATAGAAATACCCATTCCTTGCTACAGACTAACACCATTTCAGGATAATGGTCATAACTCTCCAAACACACCAGTTCATAAGATGTTGGTCTCTTTGGACAAGCAACTGAAAAATCCATTTCATGACAATAAAATCAAGTGGAAAGGACAAGCTTTAGTCACCAAAAATAGGCTGGAAGAAAAGTGATGAAATTGTAAAGACTTTTCAAAGTTCTAAAATCTCTCTAATAAGATTACTTCAACCTATGACACCAGTAATCTAGAAAAAAAAAAAAAAAAAAACTTCCAAAAAAACTCAAATTGATCAAGATACAAATCACATAAATTATGAATCTTGGCAAGTTAAGCATCAATTTATTCTTACTGATCTTGATTGTCATTTGGATAGTTAGAATCTTTTCTTTATATATGATGATGATGATGATGCACATAGCTGCATGCTAGCTTGATTCAGCAAATGGTCTAGCAAGTAGGCTTTTTTCTTCTCACAAAAACAGAATCATCTGCAAGAGCCAATCTGAAGCCCATGTGAATCAGGGCCACTCAATCAAGGTTAATTTAAAAGCCCATTTTTTTTTCATAAAATCAGAATCATATAAATGGACCAATTTGAGGCCCAGATGAGTTTTCTCTTTAACAGAGGGGCCACTTGAATGGATATAATCAGTTTCATATGCAAAAAAAAGTGTCCCATTCTGACAAATGATAAAAATGTTTTGAGATACATCTTGCATTTTATCTTTTAAATAGTGGTGTTATCATCAAAGTGATGAAATGGCTTCTAGAGCCTTATTATGGAGTTCCAGGGGGAAGTTTTAAATAAGGGGATCTCATTGAAGCTTTGGGTTTAAATCTCTCTCTCATCAAGCCCAAGAGAATGAATTTGGTGTACTGGATTTCTGCTCATACTGAATTTCTTATGGTTAACATAGATGACGTTGTTGTGCTAATCCAGGCTTTGCAGTGGTGGAGGTATCATCCAGTCTTGTTCCAATCAGGTAAAATTTTGCTTTTCCTTTTTCTATGACGACCTTACAACTAATATGGGGACCAAATGTACAGCTTTGATCGATGGTTAAGGAGATGGGTATCCGAAAGGATATGATTTGTTTGGAAATGGGTATCCAAAAGGTTATCATTCATCCTAATTTACACCCGAGGCACAAGGTGCAAGGCACAAAGCGAGGCACGTGCCTTTTTGAAGCAAGGCACAAAAATACAAAAAAAAAGCTAAAAATTAACAAAATATTAAACATAATATAAATAAAAAATATAAACTTATTTTTAAAATAAATGTTTTAAAAAACCTATTATCTAAAATTAAAATACATAAACATAATATGTAAAGCATATTCAAATGAAAATTTAAAAATAAAATCAAACATATAAAACATTTTCAAGCATGTAAAACCCACAATCTCTTTTTTTACTCAATTGCATTACTTCAAGTAGCTAATGTGATGTAAAACATATTAAATTTGATTCTATGAGCTGCCTTTGTGCCACACCCCTCTAGGCAAGCCTAAACAAGTCCATGTTAGGGTCTTAAATTCTTAGTTCTTGCACAAAAATAATGATTTTATAATTTTAATTGCTTTTTAAGAAAATATTTTATTAGGATAAATGAATGAACAACATTAGCAAATAGGGGGTTCTCGGACTTAGAGAGATTAGAGAAAGAGAAGCAAAACTTCAAAATAAACTTCTAATCCTTTTTTCTCTTCCAAAAGTTCGACTACAAAGACTCAATATATACTTCTATAGATTCAGTATATGGGTTGTACTTGTAACTCAACTAGGAAACTAACAAAATGATTTCTAATTGCTTTAGAACTAAAACAGTAGGGACACTCAAATATCTTCTTTTGCTAATGTTGTTCATTCACTCATCTTAATAAAATATCTTCTTAAAAAGCAATTAAAATTATAAAATCATTATTTTTGTATGACTAAGAACTTAAGACCCTAACATGGACATGTTTGGGCTTGCCTTGAGGGGCATAGTACGAGGGTCCAAGGTGGAGCCCCTAGCCCAGCCGCTAGGTTCAAAAAAAAGCAAAAAAGCGTGGAATTTTCAAAAGGTGCACACCTAGGCTGAGGTGCAAGGTGCATCAAATACACGCCTAGGCGCACCAAGCATGCACCTTCTAAAACGATTGCACCTAGGACCTAGGCAAGGCGCATACCCTAAAATGTGAATGTGCCTCGCCTGTGCACCAAGGCATGCCTCAGGTGCACCTTTTAAATCACTAGTCAATGCTTTATCTAAATTGGTGCATGATAGAAGATCTCATGAAATTTACAATTGTATAAATGAGATCCCAAGTCATATCCACAGCTTAATCAGAACAGACGGTCTTGGGATCCCTTTTCTTAAAGTCAAATTATTGTCTTTTTTATATCTCTGGACTCTAACTTTTAATTTTATGAGCTGAAGATTATCTTGTATAACTTTTCAGAAGGGTAAGATTTTTATGTTCCCTTCCCCATAGGCCTTTGTTCTTTTAATAACATTTCACAGTGACCTTCCCTCAACAAGAGAATGTGTGGGGTTAAAAAAATGGTGGTGTTATCCACCAAATTTCTTGCGTCTATACTTCACAGCAGAATGAGGGTGGCAAAAAATGACAATTTTTTCATATACTTGAGGTCTTTATGGGTCTTTTGTTCAATAGCCATGTTCCTATTTGTTTCTAGGGTGATGCGATTCTTAAACCCCTTACCTTATTAGCAGCCATCTCAGATTTTGGTATTCAAAATGCTGTTTAGTCTACTATATCCTAATGATATATTTTTTTCCATCAGCAAAAGAGAACTTGTTAGATTAAAGTTTTACAGATTTGTGTATGGGGTTAATGCTCCCACACTAGTACATGTTTCTGTCCCACTTCACATTGCAGCCCAAAACAATTGTTGCCTCAAAGCCCCTTGTTTGGCAAGATAATCAGCTAGCCCATTTGCACTCCTTCTAACCCATTTGAATTCAGCCTCTACCTCCTTTGCAACCTTTTCCACTTCCCTTATCACTTGTTTGAAAGTCCACGGAGTACTTCTATTATTTTTAGCCCAAGAGATGATCACCTTGGAATCCCCTTCAACCTCAATATGCCTCAGTCCTAGCTGCTTAGCTATCTTCAGCCCTTGTAGCAATGCCATTAACTCAGCTTTTAGAGAGTTGCCAATGCCAATCAGTCCAGAGAACAAAGCTAATATTCTCCTTTTAAAAATTTCCGATTACACCTCCGATACCTGATAGTCCCGGATTTCCAAGAGAGATTCCATCAAAATTCAGTTTAATCCTGTTGCCATCTAAAGGTTTCCATTCCATCCTTACTTTCTCTTTCACTCTTGAGGATTGTGCTACTTCTATCCAAGATCTTAGAATGTCTGTGACTGAGAAGTCTTGAAAGATATGCAAACGTTTTACCCAATGATCTATTTTAACTTTAATGATGTCAATCACCTCCTCCCTTGTTCAACTCTTCTCCAAGAATAATTTGTTATTCCTTTCTTCCCAAATTGCCCAACAAATAGCTGCCTTCGTAGCTTTCCACATAACCTTCCCTCTTTTCTTTGGTTGGCTCAAGAAGTCTCGAATGAGAAGTCCTACCACATCTTGAGGGGAAACCCACCTGCAACCAAGGAGAGTACAAAAAAATTCCCAAATGTGATGCGCAAAGGAACAAGATAATAATAGATGTGCTAGGGACTCACCACTTTCCTTACAAAGGGAGCACATGTGAGGAGAAAGGCAAGCAAAAGGCCTTCTTCTCTGCAGCATATCACAAGTATTTACCTTGCCAAGGAAAATTTCCCAACAGAAAGCTTGAATTTTTGGGGGGCTAGGCTTACTCCAAATTTCTTTCACAGGGAAATCCCCAACTGGGATGCTAGGTGAAGCAAGAACACTAAAAAAGGAAAAACACAAGAAGAGGCCATCTAAAGAGCCTTTCCAAATTCTAGAATCTTCCAAGGATGGGTCCAAGTGAACTTGTCCTATTAGATCCAACACCTGAACTAAAGAGTCATATTCATTTTCCTTGAGGCCCCTTCTGAAACCCAGATTCCAATTGACCCCATTTGGGCCAGGAGTTCCCAAATTACATACAGTTTCCCCTTCAAAATTTGACGAAGTATAGAG